CTCGCTTAGGAACACTGAGGCAAAGAACTCATTGAGGAGTTCAGCCTTGTCCCCCCTGTCCGTCATCAGTTGCAGTAGTGTTCTTTTAATATAATAAACACCAAAAAATGGTAGTTTTCTTTTAGCTGACAACTGGTTCCTTGTTGTACTGCTGAAAAGAATGTCTAAGGCTGCTGTTTAATTAATTTGCACAGCCTCCAAAAGTTAGTTTAACTTGGCAAGAACTAGTTGTTCATCCAGAAAGTTGAAGACCTTGAAACTTCAAAGAAAAATAGTTGAAAGATGTTGGCTGAAAGATTTTCATTCAGGATTATATTCAGGGTAATGAATGGATGACTGACTGAATCTTTTAGCTTTGTATCATGGCTGAAACATCCATAAGAGGGTCTAGAGTCCTGTTTCCCTACCCCATGGGAAGAAGATACCTTTGCTTTTGAAAATCCCTACTTACCTGCTTTTGTAGGTGCCTGCATGCCTTCGAAAAGTTAACATAAAATTATTAACTTTTCCTCAAGTTTATGCATCCACACCCAAAAAATGAGGCAAGTTCAGAATTTTACTACGAGGAGCAATAAGTGTTGATTATGCACTGAGCTTAATAAAATCAGTTTCTTCATTGTAGTGTATTTTGAACATTTTCAAGCTAGTTATTTAGGTATCCAAATCACACTTAGTATTAACTGGTTCCCTTTAGATTCAGCAACAGAATGGTCATAGCAACTGACAGCTCTCCTGTCTCTGGTGGTGCTGTGTTAGTGTTTTGAGAGTTTGGTGGGCTGCTATGGGGATCTTGTATTACCCACCTGTTCTTCCATGAAGAATTGTAAGCACCAGGACTATCATTTTCAAACTTCTCTTGTCAAATGAGAAAAAAAAATTGAACTCTTCCCTTTCTTCCGGGTCCCTGTGCTTTTAAGTGAAGATGTTTTTTAGATATACTACTTCTGCATCCTGACACACAACATGTTCTCTTAAACCAGTGCTTCTCAAGCTTTTTAGATTTGAGGCAGCCCTCAATGTCTGTAAATTGAGCAGCACCCCCTTTTCCAAAAACGAATGCATTTGTTACAGTGCTTATCTCCTTGTAGAGTGCCATGGCAATGGAAGCCAGGTAGGGAAGAACCTGAAAGTGTGTTTTATCTTTTACTTCCTCACACCTTGAATCACCTCTCAAAGCATCTGCTGTAGCATGGTAGTTGAAATGGTTGGGAATCACTGGCATAAGCCAACACGGAGCACAAATCTATTGTTTCCACTGAGACGTAAAATAAATTTTAAATTTTATAGATTTATCATCATCAATCATGATATATAGGGTGTTTCTCTATCTGCACTCTTAAGCAACACTTTTGTACATAGTTAAAGACAGTACAAACTACGTATGATACTAGTCCAAAGTCAAAAGATTCATGATTTACTATATAGTTTGTCGGCCTGTGTCCCAGCAGAGACAGCAGTGTTTCAAGCCAGCTACCCACAACTCAGCAGTGCTCAGCATGTGTGTATCCCAGATTACCCCCCTCTCCCCCACAAAGAACCATGTGCTAATTCTTGCCATGAGTATTGTAATCTTCCAAAACTGTATATGTAGATTGAAGCACAGGGTAATCTGGTCTGGCTCTACCTCATGGAGGACAGGGCTACACTAATCGTATGTGATAGGCTGAGTAAGGGGGTGATGGATTTTGGGTGAATTGTTTGGGGACCTGTTTGGTGATGTTTGCCAGACAATTAAGGCAGGTTAAAAAACAAGGTGACTTGGAAATGAGAAAGGCACAGCTCAGCTGCAGGAGTGAAGAGAAGGTTGAAATGTATGCAGTGAAGTGGCTCACCATGACCTAGAAAAGAGTCTGCTCTGAGTTGGACTGAGTGCAGTGGACACTACCATATATCTGTTTCAAATGGGCTGCACTAACCTATCCTTGTGTTAGGTTCCCATCAGTATGTTTGTCCCATATGTTGTTTTACAGTTATGCTCAGTGTTGTCTCCATTTAATCCCTTTCATAGTGGGCTGCCATTACTGAGCACATGCTGCTTTTGGCAACAGATAGTGTGGCTTCCTTGTATGCAGATGTTAGATAAGGAGGGGCTTTTCCCCTGTGTGGCGGGGGTGGGGAGAACCCTGTCTTGCATTTAAGTAAATATGGTATCTGGTAGGGCTTACCAGTTGTTGGATTCATTGGATATAAGGGTATGAAAATAAATGTATTTGGTCAGTAACTTCCCTGGGTTGTGATGTTCCACCACTAGTAAGTTTATACCTTGAAATAATTATATTTGTCGTCATACTTGAAAAGTCACAAGTGAAAAGTGATTGGTGTGGTGTTTGGACATGCATCCGTAGTCTGGATAAATCCAAAATTGAAGAAATTCTTGGTAACTCAAACTTTCTTCAGAATGCTGTGGCTTTGAATCTGACTTTCATTAAAAGATGTTATTAGTGATGTGGCAGAAGATAAAAATATACATGACAAATTCATAGCTTATAAAACTTTGGCGTTACTACAAATACCCAGGAAAAAGAGTTCTTAATAAAACGAGAAAAGATATAGGAAAGAAGAATAAGCAACAGCGGTTCCAAACCTCTTCAGACCATGGGCCGGCAAACTGTGGACTGGCATCAACCCTTATACTGAGTATAAAAAAGGGTTGACTGCCGGTTCGCAGTATGCCAGTCACTTACGGACTTCCAGTCTGGCAGCCAAATTTCCTGCAGACCAGCAGCCAATACTTTGTAGCCCAGTATTGGGCCATGGGAGCCTCTGCTTTAGGAGAGCTGAATTTGATTTCTGCAGCTACTACTTTGACCTTA